GAACCCAAGAAAGCTAGCTGGGTTCGTCGATCTAACCCGAGATCACCTGCTGGGTCTTGCTAGGTTTGTCAATTGAACCCAACGGTGTTGGGTTCGTCTATTGGGTTCATCGATCGAACCGAGGAATGCTTGCTGGGTTCGTCGATCGAACCTAAGAGCACCTGCTAGGTTCAGCTACTGGTTTCATCGATCGAACCTAACACGCACTGTTGGGTTCGATTGAAGAACCCCTGATGGGTTTGATTGAAGAATGCTAGGTTTGATTGATGTAGGTTTGATTGAAAAATGATAGGTTCGATTGAAGGTTTTTTGGAAGGTTGAAAGGGGCATGTCTATTTTGGGGAGATCCTGGGTTTATGTTAGATATTTGTGTTATCGTTGGATTTGATGTTAGAAAGTGTCTGGGTTTGCAGAAGGTGAAAGCAAATGAAGAGGAAAAAGAAGTGGTTGCTGGGTTCGATTTCAAACCTAGCACACCTGTTGGTTTCAATCAACCTAGTGACTACTAGGGTTCGAAAAAACCCAATTGTGCTGGGTTCCTTTGAGCCCAGCTTTCAAACCCAGCAAAAGAAATTGGAAGGGTCTATATTTGGTGTTGGGGGAGGGATAGAGAGAGAAAAAAACAAAAGGATGAAATTGCAGGTATCATTGGGGGTAATTGTAGGTTTCCTCCTTAGAGTTTGTAGAAGGCAAGAAAGAAGAAAGAGAATTTTTTAAGTATTTTTTTGCCATGTTGTCTTCCTGCATGTAATTAATATGTAATATGCTGACATGTCATCCTTTCCCGTTAACTAACGGGACATGTAGGTGGATTTTTAATGGAGGGACTAAATCGGAGTCAAAATGATAAACAGTAAGGACCAAATCATGGATGTTTTGAGTTGAGGGACTAAATTGAGGGTCTATATAATAATTGAGGAACCAAAATGGGGTTTAACCCTAATGTTATTAAACATTAAACATAAAATTTATTTTAAGAATTTCATCATCCAAAAAAATCAAGACTAAAATAGCAAATGGTTATATGATGCCACGTGGCAAGGGCGACCTTTAGAGAGCGGGAAGCGTCCGTGCGCACACCGTTTGGGAACTATCATGTTTATCCTCTGTAGATTTGTTTGTATATATAAACCAACGTTTTAAAAACCGGATCGGACCGACCGGTTGAACCGGTCAGACAAGTACCCAATATTAAAAATGGTTCGAATTAACATTTAGAACCGATGAACGGTTGAACCGTTCAAAACCGATAAAATCGTTCGAACCGGTACAAACCGAAAAACCATTCAACCGGATGGTTTAAATCCTTTGGAGGATTTACCTTAACTTTGCTACCCGGAGGCTTGAACACATGACATCAAGAAGATTTTCTGTGACTTTTGCCACTAGGACGTCACCTTGAAATGATTTGCTAACAATTTCATTTATGTTATTCTTCAAAGAAAAGAATTGACCATGCCATCCAGTAGAATCGAACTTTCCTTCCCTTTACGAATTTTGATGTTAAAATTAATATAGTGTTACTCTAATTTTTATCTTAAATATATAAATTAAAAGTGTGATAAATATAATTTTTTGTAATTAATTTATA